GTAATTTTTTTTTTTGCTTTTAGTTTGCTCACGTATTTTGTAGTTTTGAAAGGGTAGCTGCCCACACCCACTCTCCGATGTCTTTAAACCAAGTGACTGAAATCCCTAATATTAGCTGTACACCACATGGAATACTACGATTGAGAGAACTTGATGTATGTTGAATGAGCTTTATCATAGACCATCAACATCAAAGTACCAGGAGGTTTCTGCTGGCGACGTTGCGGCGTGACCCAGTTCCAAATAAAGATTACCAACGCCAAATGAGCGACATTTTTACCGGAAATGAAGATTTATTCAATCCATGGCTAACAAGCAACATCACAAGCGAAGTTGTAGCGTGCAACTCATCAACGATCGCTGTCGACGAAAGTCATTCCGTCAGTGGAGTACCGCAGTTCTGTGGAGGAACTTTTAACTTAATTTAAACTACGTATGACTGATTCGAAACATTCCATCGAGATCGGACGGTGCCCTATCGTGCCAACCCTTCACCATTGTATTCAAACGAACCACGTGGTGTGCTGTTACGTTCTCCTTCAAACCCAGGATTCAACCATTAGGGGCGTTTTAATAAAAACAAAACATCGCAAATCATGCAAATTTAGCAATTTTAAACAAGTATACTAAAAAGAAATGCTCAGCGATGCAAAAGAAGGATAGATATTACTTTTCAGTATACATATCTCTGTTTATACAATCCTCCACATATTCTTCTCCCAATTATTCATGCGTAAAATGGAATAGCCTCTTTCCATGTTGACATTCTGAGTAAAATCACGTGATAGGCTGTTACAATTGGCTGTTACATACTTTTTCGCCGGTCTGGAAAATGTGTTTAACTAGCTCTCATTCAAGCGACAATGCATATTTCCCAGTGGGAGTGAACCTAGTTCGAATCTGCCATTAAAAATAGGGGTCTTTTCAGCAAAAAACGAATAACCCTTGAGTGCACACAATACACTGGATTTCGGAACAAATCTTGCATTAGTTACAGCAGCTGAATATCACAGAAATATCAGACGAAACATGAAAACACTATATATTGTATTTTGGCCTGAACCCTCTTTATTGTAATTCCAGGAATTACCCCCATATGTGCAACCATTTTCCACCTTGGTATCACCCAACCCTGAAAACAAATTCTTAATACCACGCTGAAGCGTTTGGTAATAAATGTACTTGTGTCTTTCATTTCATGAAACTGCCACTAGAGGGCAGTGTCTACCAAGCCTGAAACCAAACTGTAGTGTGGTACAAGTCCAGGTATTATATGTTGTTGCATATATTGCTCACTATGAAAAAGTTGTTTGATAAATTTCTATATATATAAATCATTTTGCTTTGAAACATGTGTATTGGTCATAAACTAAAGACTGGTCAGTCAATATATAGATGTAAAAAAGTATTTTAAATTTGCCTCAGAAATAATGTTTTGTGTTATAGAAGGGATACCCAATATGAGCACCAAAACGTAAGGTACAAAAAGCAATCAATTGTAAATAAACAGAATATGAAAGTTTAAACTCGCACTGACTCCCAATTAAATTTGATTCCTATTCACATTATATAAAAAAAAAAACTTTGCGTATCTGTATGAAAGTTGACATGACAAAACAATATCCATAAGAACATGAAAATTTGAGTGACTTTTTCTTTTTCAAAGTGTATTACAACAACACAGTTATAATATGTTGTTGTGAATGCTAATAACATAAATGATGATCGGATCTAAGTTTGAGCTGCCAAAAATTAAACTAAGAAAATCACTATGTACTTAACTCTATAAGTGCTTTGACTAATTGCTGAAATGTTGAGATTAAATTAAAAGGATTTATAAACCACCACCGCTACGATCTGTTGGGATAGCTTTCGCTGATTTCATTTCACTCAATGCTAAGGCAGTACCAAGACGACTTATAGACACTGCACCAGTCTTCAATGCACTCATCAGCTGTGAACATAATAGAGTATTCAGTTTACACAGACTGGTAAATTCAATGTCACTACTGTATTTGTTCTATTAGTAGTGCATGCACTTAATATGTAAATGACAGGTTTTTTTGTAATCAAAATAAGTCATATTTAAATGATCAAGTATATACTTAGAGATTATACATTTGTTTGTGAATGGCAAGCAAGGGTTTTTGGTATCGGGTATAGGATCTCTCTGGGTAAAATTAGCATATTTGGCGGAAGATAATAACCAAGCGTAAACAGGGTTATCTCGGCTGAGATAGCGCCGCTGTTAGCAATGCACATTTCGATTAAAGAATTAAAGATATCATCACAAAATGAAGAAATCTGAGAGTAGTCCACATGTAGTATCTTTTATGTATAATATCAAATCAATCAGACTTGCAGTGTTTATAAGCAAGAAGTCAAAAATATCACTTTTTACCAAAAATTACAAAAACATTCACCAAAATTAGAGAATTAAAGATATCATCATAAAATGAACAAATTTAAGTGGGGTCTACCCAAGGTACATATACACTAAGTATCAAAGCAATCAGGCTAAGTTGATGTGGACGCCAACAGCGAGGCTAAAAAAATTACAGACATATTTATAACAGTTTGAGATTTGTTCAGATTAACATCAAATCACAGAATAGTCATAGTGTCAGTAATACAGTTGTGGTTTAAACTATTTTTATCGTCTGCAGACATCGTCAGCATATATTCTCTGAATGGCAAAATTTGATTTATTCACACAATAAACATTTTTAACCAGGACGTATAAGCAATGTAAAGTTTTGTTCACTTGGTCCAAAATTAATTTACATTAATTTATAAAATACATTGAAATGTTGCATTTATATTTAGGTCAGAAAAAATATGTCAGTTGTATTTTTAGTTGAAAACGATCTTACCTGTAAGAATTCATCTTTCTCAATCCTACCATTTTTGTTGCAGTCTACTTCATTCATCATATCTCGTAGCTGGTCTTCAGTCACTTTTTCGCCAATACTCTAAAAAAACATGAAAATTAGATTATGGTAAAATTGAAGATGCTAGGTAGAATACTACTCAACCTATTGATACTATGAAGAAAAATGTTTGTGTTTGTAGTGCTAAAACATGTGAATCATAGTTTGTTTATATAGGTTTGTTGTCGGAATTTTAGAAAAAAGAAAAAAAACAATTTTTTAGAAAAATTATTTCAACCCTTAAATTGTTAAGTCTATAGAAACTGGTACGGTTTTCAGACACCACTTTTATCAACCATGATACGTGCTAAATTACCAAATTGTTCTTAAAGCGGGGGAGTCATCATCTGCGTATGCCTCAGATGGCCATAGCGTGTCATTGTTTACAATCAAGCGTCTACCAATGAGTCTTTGCATTTTTAGCGTGTTTTTTTGCGTTTTTATTGTCGCTTGGAACTCAATTCCCATGCATGTGTAGATGACGACCCTCTCGCTTTAATCATAGAATAATTATGCACACCTATACCTGTGAAAATCATTTTTTACAAAAACTCAAACAATACAGTCAAAACCTTTTCCACACACTTTTGATTCATTGAAGTTTTTCATCATAAAAGGATACCGTACTCGACCGTGTTAGCACCCATGCCCGGGCAAGCGCCCACCCCCCACTTTTGCACAATTTTTATATTTGGGGTCACATTCGGCAAAGCGCCCACCCCTTCAAAATGCAACTAATTTAAAACTTGGTCTTGTGTAACGAATCTTGGTAATCGTTTTTATATGATAGAGCGTGGACATCAATCGCTGTGAACATGTTGTGAATGCGTAGAACATGGTAACCGTGCGTAAACTACGCTTCGACAATGACCTGTTAGTACAAGTAAAATGCGATAAATATTTCATGCCATATTCAGTTTCAATTAAACAAAAATGTCTAGCTACTAGTTTTTTGGAAATACCATGTCGTTTATTCGCTGAAATAATTCCAACAGATCGTACTTCGACATCGATTATTCACTTCCGCATTGCGTTATCGGAAAGTCTTGGGGAATTTCCTAAGAATTGCGTCAGTACAACACAGCATTCTGATTAGTTAATAACCAACTTTGACCCATTAGGTCAAACGACGCTGCTGTAGGTCAAATCTGCAATTGCATCATGGCGGAAAGTGATTTTCATCGAGAGTTTGCATTCGATCCAACAACTTTGTCAGTGGAAATAATATGACAATTTTGACTTTGACTGTGTTCCAACAGACTCAAATGTTTTTAATTCCATAAATTATGGTGGTACGTAATTAATATTGTAATAAAATGTGCATATTTTTTGTGATCATTTCTGTTTCTTCATTGTGAAAATCAATGACGACGCAAATTAATTTAGTAATTTGACTTTCCCTCAAAGACGTGATCTGTCACTTGATGAATCAAAATTTTCATTTGCACTCTTTTTCGAGGGGGGTGCTCGGGTAAGCGCCCACCCCTACAAAATCGTGATTTTCTGAGTTGAGGCCCCTGGGCGCTAACGCGGTCAAGTACGGTAATTACCCGGTACTACTGCTATATCACATAATTACTATATTTCAAGCCAAAATTAAATGCAGACAGTTTTTATATGGTCAGTATGTTTGTTGGTAACAGAGTTGAAAATCGATTGAGTATTTTGGGGTTCGCACAATATATGAAATGAAATGTATACTGCACCAATGTGCCATTCAATACAAGCACACTAAATCATTTATGGGAAAAAAAGCCCAACCTTCATTAAAGAAACGTTTATCATTTCAGATAATTATTTGTATTTTATAACCAAGAAAGCTTTACATCAGAAAGCTAGAAAAAATCTGGTGTATTTCATAACTTATATTTATTGAAACTGTAATTTTAGCGTGTATTACGTGATTGCTAATGGGGATGCAAAAAGTAGGCTGATTTTCACCTATTCAATAGTAACCAACTTACATCTAGGAATTTCCTGACATCTAGTAGAGTTATGTATCCTTTCTTGCCGCGATCAAGACAATCAAATTTCTTGTTGTACTTCTTGATATCTTCTTCACTAAAGTTAATAGGTATGTTCATAAGATTCTCTCTACAGCTACTACCCATCTGTTCATATAAGAATTTGATCGCCTCATCATGCTCTTCCTATGATGCAACCACAGACAAGATAAGAATAAAAAACAAAACAAATCTTCTGTTCATCTGAAGTAACTAAATATCAAGACAGATTATTTAAATACTTACCATAACGAACAGTACAAGAATGTTTTTTTCTTAATGTTAATATTGTTGTTATTATTTGAGATGCTGAATTGTTCAAGTTACGATCGAGTTACAAAAATGACCGTGCCCATATGTTAGAAGCCATGCCTACTTTTGCAAAACCATGCCCAAATTACAACTCAATGTTTAAATACCAGTTGACCCAACTTTGAGTAATAACAGGCAACATAGATTTTTTTATTTGGTTCAACATTTCACAGTTAGCAAGGTAAGCTTTTATCCTGTTCATGTCAAACTTCAGGTAAGATTTTCAATGTAGTAAATTCTGAAATGAACAATAGCCAAAGTAAATTTGTCCTGATTTAAAAACAGTTTGTACAGAGCACAATGATTGGAAATATCATTTCCCTCACCTTTTGTTTTTGTTTGCTCCATCCCAATTCCTTTGCCATCAACTCGACAACTCTGGGAAGGGCTTCTTCTGCTGCCTGTATATTGAGAAATGCTAGTCTGGTTCTCCTTGCAAGTACATCCACTACTGTACATGCATACTCCTGTACTGCAAATTTCACCTGTAATAAACAAAAATAGGCTACAACTCAAGCGGTATTTTTTAAACACAACATATATTTAAGTTATTGATATGCTAATTATATACAGTTGATAGATAGTTAAAGTGATATTACTTACATATGTGTTGGTGTTTTATCGAAAAAAATAAGATCGATATCACATGATTATTATTTTCATAAAACAAGCAGCCTGTCGGCTGAGATAGCTCCGCTGTTAGAAATGCACATGGCAATTAAAGAACAGAAGATATCATTAGAAAATGAACAAATCTGAGAGAGGTCCACATGTAGTACCTATATGTATAATATATCAAAGCAATTGGACTTGCGGTTTTCAACAAGAAGTCGAAAATATCACTTTTTACCAAAAATTACAAAAATATTCATCAAAATTAGAGAATTAAAGATATCATTATGAAATGAACAAATCTGAGAGAGGTCCACATGTAGTACCTATATATGTAATATCAAAGCAATTGGACTTGCGGTTTTCAACAAGAAGTCGAAAATATCACTTTTTACCAAAAATTACAAAAATATTCACCAAAATTAGAGAATTAAAGATATCATTACAAAATGAACAAATCTGAGAGAGGTCCACATGTAGTACCTATATATGTAATATCAAAGCAATTGGACTTGCGGTTTTCAACAAGAAGTCGAAAATATCACTTTTTACCAAAAATTACAAAAATATTCACCAAAATTAGAGAATTGAAGATATCATTACAAAATGAACAAATCTGAGAGAGGTCGACATGTAGTACCTATATATGTAATAATATCAAAGCAATTGGACTTGCGGTTTTCAACAAGAAGTCGAAAATATCACTTTTTACCAAAAATTACAAAAATATTCACCAAAATTAGAAAATTGAAGATATCATCATGAAATGAACAAATCTGAGAGAGGTCTACCCAAGGTACATATACACCAAGTATCAAAGCATTCAGGCTTGTAGTTTTCAAGAAGAAGTCGAAAAAGTAAAACATTGACACGGACGACGGACGACGACGACGGACGACGACGGACAATCACTCATATGATAAGCTCCGCTCGACAAAGTCGACAGCGGAGCTAAATATCATTATTAGTATGTCACTTTAATAATAATAATAATAATAATAATAATAACTTTATTGCATCCTTAAAAATACAATGTTTCTATCAGTTAATAGCAATAAAGATTAGTTGTGATAACTACTACTACAAAAAGAAAGTTAGTTGTTAATGGGATAAAGCAAGTGTTACATATCAAATGACATTTTCATTTCTTGATTGAAATGCATTATGAATATGGTTGCCAATCTTTTTTTATTATTACATCATCTTTTGAAGTCATCAAGAAATTAAATTTCCTGAGATCATTCTGTGTTTCTTCTGGAAATGTAATGTCTTGTATGATTTGTCAGCGTAATGTCTTGTATGATTTATCAGCGTAATGTCTTGTATGATTAGTCAGCGTAATGTCTTGTATGATTTGTCAGCGTAATGTCTTGTATGATTTGTCAGCGTAATGTCTTGTATGATTTGTCAGCGTAATGTCTTGTATGATTTGTCAGCGTAATGTCTTGTATGATTTGTCAGCGTAATGTCTTGTATGATTTGTTGGCGTAATGTCTTGTATGATTTGTCAGCGTAATGTCTTGTATGATTTGTTGGCGTAATGTCTTGTATGATTTGTCAGCGTAATGTCTTGTATGATTTGTCAGCGTAATGTCTTGTATGATTTGTCAGCGTGTCATATTATGGGTGGCACTGGAATTACAGGTGCCCACATAGCTGAGGTGGAAGCTGTATTAGGCATTGTTATGCTAATGAGTAGGGCTTTGTTTTAGCCAGGACAGTGTAGTGCTGTTAGGAGCACACTTCGTTT